CTCTAAATCCATCTCCCAATCGGATTTAATAAATCCGGGATCAACGTTACGACACTCGAAAAAATGGATAGGCTAACGGAGTAATTTAGCAATTTTAAAATGATGTTTGATGGATTTAAATTAAATCTAGATGGTAATCCTATTTAAATAGGCTACCAAACACCTCCTAAATTTCCATTAAATGAACTAATTTTTATCGTCAAATTCCATTATAAGACATAAATTATTACACGATTGCTTGAAACTTTGGCATGATTGTTGAAGGTGCAATTAACTACTTTGTCTGATTTAACTTCACCATTTTAATTTTCTTATTGTATTGTTTGAAAAAGATTATATGCATATTAAGTGTGTTTATGTCTAAAATAAAATTATAGCGGACATATTTAACCCTATAGCAGCTAATTTGCTTTAGGGATACGTTAGTCTAAAGTAAAAAAAATTGTATGCAAAATAACTTGTTCTTTGGGGGCCGTTTAGGGCAACTTATAAGTGCGGGGCATTTTTTGAAAACATCACGGTACCGTTTGGTTCACATTTTTTGTCCGCTTATCTGATAATGTGGTTCCATTTTTACACTAAACGAAGGTCGCGGGTCGTACCCTGCAATCGACCCGCGGGCAGTATTTCAGGATTATCCTGACACGTACAAGCTGCCCCAAACACACCTTTGATTTGAAGTCCGTCTATTTTAAATGTTTTTAGTTACTTTTTTGATTTATTGCCAGCAAAATACAATTTTTCAAAAATTATTGATATGAGTTTTTAAGTTATTTTAATTTATAATCAAATATTTGGGATTTTTTTGGTATCATTATTGTTTCTTATTTTTATTTTTATTTTAAAAATATGTTTATTTATTTAAATTTTTTTGCTTGTTCTTATTTATTATTTTTATAAATAAATTAATTTGAAACACTCAAAGTGTTTAAAATTTATTTTAAATGTTTTGGAAAATATTATTATATATCAAATGTATTTTTAAAAAATATAAATAAAATAAAATACAAATTTTAAAAAACAAAATTTATAGTGATTTCACACCCCTTAATTATTAAAGATTTTTAAAATTGTTGTAAAAATTGAGTATCTGTTCTTTTTTTTTAAATAAAAAATACAAACACGCTTAGAACATGTCATGTATATACATATACATATACATGTATATATATATATATATATGTATATACATGTATATACATGTATACATATATATATGTATATACATGTATATACATGTGTATACATATATACATATATATACATATATGTATATACATGTATACACATCTATACATATATATACATATATATACATATATATATATATATAT